TCCGGGGCAGCTGGCTGGCCCTCGTTCACTGAGGCTTTCACTGTGCGTGGCCTGCTTTCCCACGGCCTCCCAAGATAAAGGAGGCCCGTGGCCCAGCTGGCAGAGGAGGCCGCTGCCGCCCCCGGTCCGCTTTCTCTCGGAGCCAGGGCCGCCTCCCCACCAGCCTCGCTCACAGTCCCGCCAGGTGCCACCTCACCTGGGTCTCGTTTTTCCGGTGGCACAGCTGGATCCCAGCAGTGACGCAAGGGGGAAGGAAGACACCTCGGGGAGACCAAATTCTTCTGGTTGCCACAGAGGGATGGAGGCTTGTGGAAATCTCGAGGCTTCGTTCCCAGTGTCACCATCCAACCCAGATGTCGTCATACAAAAAGTGGGGTCCCCGGCCCCCTGGACCCACACTATCTGGGCTCCCGCTCTGGGGCGTGTCTCACTAAGCCTCGCACACTCTGTGCTCGTTCTTGAGCAGAGCCCGGCGTGCGAGACGAGCAGCAGGCGTCTCTGTCCTGCAAGCTGCTTACCTCCTACTGCCGTCCGCCGGCCCGAACCCAGCGTCCAAGCACAGTCTTAAAACGTGAGCTTGCTGCTTTGGTGCGCACATTTGTAAGGCGGGCTCAGCACCGTCCATTACGGGGAGACTGCGTACTCCTCGGGGCCGTCTTCACCAGCAGCTACCTGGGCAGCCCCAGAATGCCTCTCCCTCCGGCAGCTGGAGGTGGCCCCCCGCAAGGGGACGGGCCTCACAGGCTGTTTCCCGTTACTTATGGCTTCATCCCTTCAATCAGGGGGCTACTTTCTAAGGTCCCTTTAGGCTTAGGAACATGCAGGTGCCCTACTCTCCTTGGCAGAGACCCTGACTCTGCGGGACCCTGGCTCTGCACCTCCTCTTCTAGGTACAGCTCAGGACTAGAGATGACTCTCTTCCTCACTCCAGAGTTGGTCTGGGGGCTCCACTGAGCCCCGGAGCAGGGTTCTTCTCCCAGCTCTGCCACCTCCAGCAGGTGGCCCCCGGATTCCCTCTCTGACCCACCCACCGTGTCTTCAGAGCCAGCGGTCAGTGTCCGTACTGCTGGGCCGGCAGGCGGTCCTTCCAGAGCACCCACCGCCCTTCCCCGGGGAGCCCTCCGTCCGTTTTGCTGAGAAGATGCAGACACACACTCCACACACGACGCTGTTTGTTATGGGTTCTCCACAGAGGGTCCCCTGTGGCTGTTTCTTCTCAACCCTTGGCCCCCCTTTTCCAGTAAGAGCATTCTGACTTTCCTTTAGGTTCAGGCCTGAATCCACCGGCTTGCCCCAGCCTGGTCGACCAGAACACTCTCTCCCCACAGATGGTTTTGGGAATGAGCGCAGCCGGGCCGACAGGCAACCGTATAGCCTCTGTTCTGAGATGCCATGAGATATGAAATGTATTGTGTTCTAAAGCACCTCCAAAAGCAGAAAAAGGGTGCCCTTTTTTATTGTAAGATGCCATAACTTTCAGAGCCATTAAAATGCTGGGAGAAGAAAGAGCCTACGGATCTATGAATTAGGCTTAATTTGGGCTTTGGGAAGGGGAAGAAGCTCTTTCTCCTGGGATCCCTGGGCTAAGGTTGCTGAAGCTTGGAGATCGAGAGCCGTTTTCCAAGGGGCCTGCCCCTTAGTGAAACCAACACGAGGAGAGGGGACGCTGCGTGAACACCTAGATCCAGCCGTTCCTGACACTGTGCATTTTCCTTTGCCACGGGGCCTAGAGCAGTGGGGTATCCCTGTGTGGAACCGACTGCTCACTCTTCACGCAGTCCCAGCAGTGCCCCTGTCCCCACCACCGTGTTGGCGCAGACACAACGGCAGGCCTGGGACTCGAGCACCCGGGATGTCGGTGCAGGACTTGTGGGTGCAGTTCTGGACCCCCGACTTCACATAGCAGTTCACCGGTTAGGGAGGAGGGACAGAGGAAGAGAGGAAGGAGGATGGCAGGATGGTGGGAGGGAGGGAGGGAGGGCGAGCGGAGTGGAAAACGTCCAGGATGCGAGTCCGAGGCCTGCAGGACCAGGCCACGAGGTAAACTCAGGGGGCCAGGCTTCTCTCCTCTGAGTGCAACTCCCACAAATGCCTGCTGCTGCTGCGGCAGAGCCGGGGGGCAGCCTCAGTGACCCACCCACCACACCCACGTTTGGAAATGAGGATTCCATGCCTGGCACACGGAAACGCTGCGGCAGACACAGGCCGGAGAACTGGAATCGGGTTCAGCGACTGGAAGGAGAGGGCCGCTCATAGCTCATGGGTGCTGGGAGTGGAGCGACCGCATGGTAAACCAGTTGTTGGCCAAGGGAGCCCCCAAGTACACAGGTCCCCCACCATCGTCCATCAGGACAGAGCCCCAGGAGCTGGTTGGCGGCTGCCCTCTGCCCAACAGAGACTCAGAAGGACTCTGCACCCAGATTCCTAAGCTCAGTGGTCCGCGGAGTCATGAAACCAGAAGGGACATGCCACTCACGGGTCAGGTGTCCAAGCTCTCTGCTCTTAGACAGTGTGGCTTCAGGGTGCTGACAGTCGTCACAAGGCACCTGAGCCAAGGAGCCACATCCGGCCCAAGGGGAGATGGATAAGCGTTTCACAGACTTGGTTCTTTGTGCCCAGCTGCTGAAATGTGAACAGTGACAGGACGGAAAGCAAGGCTGAGGTGACCTTTCGGGGTGTCCCCAACCTGGACATCCTGGCCAGTAACATGGGAGCCTGTGTTGCTGTGTCCCGTGGTTCTGGCGTCATCCCCAGGCTGCAGGGAGACCACGGTGAGCGAGGTCATCCATGGACCCGATGCCTGTGCACAAGGGCCCTGCCCTGTGCTTCTCGGGAACCAGCCAGGGGAACCGCTTCTCCTGGAGCCTGTCCTGGCCCATCTCCGAGGACAGCCGCCATGCCTCTGATGTCCCCTGGGCTGGGCCCAGGAGGGACTGGCTGAGGGTGCCCGGAGGGCCCTCCGCCCAGAGCAACAGCACAGCACATAGAGTTCCAGGCTCACTTTTACTTCCTCCCAGGAACAAAGGGGCACTTCTGAGCTGAAGTGGAAAGTCTGAGAGAAAAGTTCATGCAGTCCTCAAACCAGAAGATGCTCTTGAATGAAAAAGCATGGAATAAGGGTCAGAGGAAAAGGGAAAATAAAACCCAAATTTTCCGGGAAGCAAAGAAAAACTGTAACATTTAACTATTGCTCTCTCGAGGCATAAAGGGGAATGATGGAGGTACCTAATGGAAAAAAGGGAAAGTTAAGCTGAATGGCAGAGTTTCAGTGAGAAAATGTTCTTAGGTCTTGATTCCTGGCACAAAAGGCCTTTAAGAAAAAAAAAAAGGAAGGAAAAAAGTCTCATTCCATAGGCCAGGGAACTTGACTAGCAGTGCTGGCCACCAGGCTGGCTCAGCCCGTGTGAGGGACACACTTGTACACAGGGATGGATCAGCTGTGCACACATGTTGAAGATGGCGAGGACCAGCCCTGTCAGAGGAAGTAGGTACACTATGGATAACCTAGAATAACCCTGGGGAGTTAGACTACTTGAAGGCACTGGTGTGAAGTCATGGTCCTTAATAAAAGGTTGGGAGATGCGTATGTCCACATACATGCAGCCTAAACACACCTCCTCGATCTGTCTGCTGAGAGGGTCTAGAAGCAGTGCCCCCCCCTGGAACAGTGAGCTCATCTAACGCCCAGATGTTGGTTTCTAAGTACCATTCCCCACAAAAAGAAACTGGTCACCTTGGAGGTGTGGCTGCTTCTGGAGCTGGGGCAGGAGCGAGATGAGCCTGGAGCTCATTGTCAGCAAGGCAGAAACGCTCAGAGAATGCCAGGGATGTGTCAAAGGGACACAGAGCCAGCAAGAAGGCAAACTGGCCACATCAGGGTGATTTTGCGCATCAAGATGAACGATAATAATGGAGTAGAACCCATTGATTAAGAATGGCAGACCGTACAGGCAGACCTTGCAAGGAATGTGGGTTCGGTTCCAGTCCACCGCAATGAAGCAAGTGTTGCAATAAAGCGAGTTGAAATCTTTTCCCTGGTGAAGGGTCTAGCCTTCACTCTGCTAACAGACTTAACATTGTGAAGCGTTATAAAACGAGGTACGCCTGTAAATAAAAAACTTAAAGGAGAGAAGAGCTATATTTTTATACGTTATTACATCTGTGGTATTTCTGCCCAAAACACACAACCTAAATCAAATCTTGGGGAGAGTTAGGCCTAAATTAAGTACATTGTGCAAAATAGCTGGTGGTACTACTCCCCCAAAAAGGCAGGGTCCTGAAAGATAAGACTGAGGAACAGGGGACTGGAGATTCACCCCCAGGAGCAGGGGGTCGGGGGTCAGAGAGGAGGAAAGGAAGTCGGCTGTTGTCACTGTTGGTTGTTGTTTTTTTCCTATAAAGGACATTTTTGAGACAAGACAATTTTAAATGGACTTGCGGATTAGATTTGTAGTATTGTCTCAGTGTTAACGTCTTGATTTTGATGGGTACACGGTGGCTATCCAGGAGAGAGTCCTTGTTTTTAGGAAGTACACACAAGTATTTGGGGTCATGGGCGTACTGTCTACAGCCTACCTAAACAGACGGGTGGGCGGGTGGCAGGGCGGACGGACGGAGGGACATACGAGTGGACGGGAGGCGGGCGGGCGGAGGAGAGAGCAGGACCGGGCAAAGGAGCTGAATGCAAACGAATGCGCAGTCTACGTGAGAGTTCTCTGTGTGCGTCTCGTAACTTTTCTGTAATCTGAAATTACTTCAACATGCACAGTTAACAGATAAAAATAAGGCTTATAAACACTTAAAAAGAGATAAAAACTCTGGTGTTGGGAGCGTCTTCTATGCGACGAGATCATCTTGCTGCCGGTTCACACGCAGGCGGCGAGCCAACCTCTGGTTTTCAGAAATCAGACTATTCGGGCTTGTTTACAAGAAAAGTCCCACTCACTTCAGAACAGTAGCAGAGAACGTAGCTTTATTTACAGCAGAGAGCGTCCGTCCGCACACGCTCCGCAGGACAGTAGCACATCACAGTACCGTACACGCACGAGGCATATTAAAACATAGCCAGTTCTACACAGCCTGGACAGTTCCTATCACGGAAAAGAAGTATCCAGCCCGCAGATTCACGTTAACATACACGGTATGTCAGCGTCAATCTCTGTATCGTACACCACAGGCACGTTTGCAAGCAGGACCTCCTGCAGCAACTCCCTCTCTAACACCAGTACTGGGGGTGGGGCCCCGTGGCACACGCGTAGCGGCGACCAAGAGGGCTAGACGACCACATCTTTACAGCCAGATGTTCGGGGGTCTCTGGAGCTGCCTCGGGGGCTGCACAGCTCAGAGGTGTGTGAAGCGGGTCAGAAAGCCCCTCTGGGACCCCAACAGCAGCACTCCGCACAGACGACCACCTTACCAAACCCCAGAGTGGGAAAGAAACCGACAATTCGGGGGGTTCGTCTCACTGGGTAATACTGCTCTGAGTCCAAAACTGAGGTTACGAGTGAATTTTTACATGACTTACATTTGGCTCCAGAGTTCAAAGCACGTTTTACGTAAGAAGAAATGAAGGAGCAAGGAGCACTCTGGGAGGTGTGTGGTCCCCACCAGGGCTGGCTGAGAACAGATCTGTGTCAGAGCTGGGAAGGTTGCTGTGCTTCTAAAACCCAACCGTGTTACTTTATACAGGTTGCTCACGGACTAGCCTATCCAATGACATGAAAGTTTTTTTACGAGGTTAAAGCAACAGTTGATACTATGTTCATCTAGCAACAACGTTCCACAAACGAGAATTCCACACAACGTTCTGCTGCGTCTGCCGCTGCAATGGGGAAGGAAGACAGCTCCTCCACCCGTGTCCCCAGGCGGGCGCTCCGGGGACTGCACGCAGGACAGCGTGGATGACAGCGTGCCCGTGACTGTCCCCGAGGAACCGACCTCAGGAGCAGGAGTACAACGAAATGATTTCAACCCATCGTCCGACACCAGGCACATCGATGAGTGGATGTCAGCACCTTCTAACCACCTTCATTTGGAGGGCACCCCGCCCACGCAGACTTCCGGCACGAATCAAGAGTCAGCAGCCTCTTGATGGCCTGTTCACGGTCAAGTGCCACCAGGCCATCAGCAAGGTGAGGGTTGCTGACCAGCACAGCATCATTCTGTGCGCCCCTCGGAACACAACAATGGGACCCTGCACAAGGCCCCGGTCTCCGAGGACAGCAAACTAGGTCTTGCTTCGCCGGAGCAGCGTGGCGGCGGGGCTGTGGCTGCCCTGGAACTTGAGGCTCTGCAGGTTGACGTGGGCCCCGTGCTTGAGCAGCGTCTCCACCGTCTTGGCGTGTCTGCCCCGGGCGGCCAGGTGCAGCGCGCTGAGCCCCTGTTCATCAGACAGGTTGAGCACGTCCGCACTGACCAACTCCTCCACCACCTCGGAGTGCCCACCGGCGGCAGCCAGGTGCAGCGCCGTCTGGTTCCGGGGCCCCCGCGCCAGCACGTTGGCTTTCTCCTCCACCAGCAGCTTCACGGTCGCCAGGTGCCCGTTCCGGGCAGCCAGGTGCAGGGCAGTGCAGCCCTCGGAGGTCACCGCCTCCCTGTCGGCACCCCGATGCAGGAGCAGCCTGGTAGTGCTTGTGTGCCCCGTCTCCGCGGCAACGTGCAAGGGCGTCTGCTCGAGCAGGCTGCAGACGTTGACATCGGAATGCAGGTCGATGAGGATGCGGGCCACGCGGTAGTGCCCTCGCTGGGCGGCCAGGTGCAGGGGCGTCCGTCCGTCCAGCGTCTGGGCATTCACGCTCACCCCCGGCTGCTTGGCCAGCAGCTTGACGATCGGCAGGTGGCCCTGCCAGGCGGCGTAGTGCAGCGGCAGCCAGGCGTCCTTGCCCTGCAGGCCCACATCGACGCCGCGGCGCAGCAGGGTGCGCACCACGCTCTCCTGCCCGTGCTGGCAGGCCACGTGCATGGGCGTGCGGCCCTCGCAGTCCACCTCGTTGATGGAGGCGTTCTTCTCCAGCAGCAGCCGCGTGCTGCCCTCGTCCCCGTTCTGGGCCGCGAAGTGGAGGGCCGTCCACTGGTCCTCGTCGGTGGCGTTGACGCTGATCTTCCGGGCCAGCAGGAGCTCCACCACACCCCGCACCCTCTTCTCCACGGCCAGGTGGAGCGGGGTGGAGCCCTTCCTGTTGGTCAGGTTGGGGTTGGCGTTGTTGAGGAGAAGCCACTTGACGCACTCCTCCTGCCCGGCCTCCACCGCCAGGTGCAGCAGGCTGGCCCCGCCGTCCAGGACCAGGTCCACGTCCTGCGGCTGCAGGATCTTCATCAGCCGGCTGGTGTCCCCGTTCACGATGGCATCCGCGAGCTTCTTCTTCTGCACGTCGGTCGTGCCGAGATCTGTGGGGGAGCAGATGCGAGGGTCAGGCGAGGCTGGTGTCCTGGTGTGGCCCGCTCCTCCCCACGCCTCCTGGAGCTGCCTACGTGTCGTGCTGTCCCTGCTGGTTTAATTTGAAATCAAGTGGGCAGACCCTGGCCGGAGCCGAGGGGCTCTTGTAGATTTGCAAAATACAAAGCACTCTGGCCACCCTGTAGGGCCGGGACTAGATGAAGGATGTGAAACTCGGGCCCCTGCTGGTGGTCAGAGATGGCAAGGGTTGCTAACATGGAGGGAGGGAGAGGGGGAGGAAGGGAGGTGGGCACAGACCCGGCAGGAGCCCCCAGTCCTCCTGAAAGTTCACAGCTCTGGTCCCAGGGAGGGCCTGCGGGGCTGCTCCCAGACCCGCCTCCAACTGGGGCCCCGTCTCTAGTCCCTACAATAACCCTTAGGGGTCTGAGCCTCCCATCTCAGGAGGACCGCTGCTCAGCACAGACGTCCTCCGCACCGTGTGGTTCTGACTCACATGCAACTAGACTCTCTCACAAGAAACATGCTCTGGGGCCTCACGGGGTGGGGGTAGGGGGAGGTAAGAGACCAGAATCAGCCAGCAGCCAGCCTGGACTGTGTTTCTTTCCTTTTCAACCTACCCCCACTGCTTACCCGGCCGTCCAGCCGGGCCTTGCCCACCTGTGTCTTTGCAAGGTGTTTTCTCAGCCCAAAGTACCCTCTTTTGGCCCAAATACTCCACTTTAAAATCCCCGGAGGCCCACAGCATCCAGGAAAACGCCTCCCTTCCAGGAGGAATTCCCTGACCCGCCAGGAAAAGCAAACTCCTCGGCCCTCTGGCACCCCCCACCCCTGGGCTGGAGCCCCGAGCCTGAACCTCCACGCTGTCTTTTCGGGGGCTGCCACACCTTAGGGTGCAGTTAGGAGCGACAGACCAGCCCCACACCCACGGACCAGCACCAGGGAGGGGCAGGGAGAAACATTCTCAAACAAAAAACCCAACAAAATTAATATCCAAAGATGAGCTGAGAAGGGCCCCCCTGCAGAAAAGGTGTTACAACCTCCAAGGATAACTTGCCCATTAAAATGCATGGCCATAGGGAACGGGGAGGCCAGAAATAAGAAAGTATGGGGTGTCTACCTAGCACTAAGAAGGGGGGTGGGGCTGGCCCCCATGAGAGAGAGAGAGAGCCAAGGTGTGGAGTTCAATTCATCTGCTGGTCTCACTGGATACAACTTAGGGTTTTTAACCTGAAAACCCGAGGTCGGCCCTGCACCGGCAGGGGCACAGGCGAGACCACCCTGCACAGCCAGGTGTGTGACCCAGTAAGAGCAGGTGCCACCAGCTGGGCCAGCATGCACCTCGGCATTTGGGCTCCGTGAACCAACCATGCCACTGACTCCCTGGACCAATTCGTGACGAGATGGAGAAACAAATGACTGTCGCGTCAAGAACCGGGGCGCCGGATTCGTTTCAGCGGCTCCTCCATCGCCACTCCCGGCCCGCCGCCAGCCCCGTAATTCGCTCGTCCTTTCCCAGGGCACCCGGCCGCCACTCACCGCCCGTGGAAGGCTCCCGCTCGAAGGACAGGGACAAGGACCCCCTGGAGGAGAAGGCAGAATCGACCGAGGACACCCCCGACAGCCGCTTGCCGCTGTTCGCCGATGGAAGCTTGGATTCGGAGGAGCTGCGGCTGAGCTCGTCGGGGCCCTCGAGGGTCTGGGAGATGCCCGAGTCCAGCTGCGATAGCAGCTCAGAAAGGCTGTAGTCCTTATCGAAGGCCGGGGCCGAGGCTCGCTTGAGAGGCGTGGACACGGGCGCCTGCAGGCGAGCAGAGGGGGGCAGTGAGGCTCGTGCCACACGGTCGGGAAGGCAGAGGAAGGGAGGGGACGCGCAGGGAATTTAACTCCTGCTCACACGCAGGGCCCCTTGGAGCCCAGTGACACCACGCGGGTCTGCTGGGCAGAGAGACCTTGTAAGGACAGACTGACTCGATTGGAACGGAAAGTGGGGCTCCAGGCTGCCTGGACCCTGGCGGCGCGGGGGTCTGGCACACGGTGTTCTGCGGGCCAAGGCGGACCGTGACCTCGCTGCAAGAGTGTGAAACTGAGGGCCGGGCCGCGTCCACCTATCGGGTCAGCGCTGGTGAGAAACAAAGGACAGAGGTGGGGCCGGGGTGACTGGGGCCGGGGTGACTGGGGCCGCGGCCCCCCCAGCGCTCCCCACACTGCCTACGACCTGTGACCTCTCGCTGGAGTTGTACGAGCCCAGCTCGGGGCGGTGCAGGTGGACAGGGGCAGGGCGAGGCCTAGCGACGGGACAACCCTGCGACCCACCCTTCAGAGGGCCTCACCTAACAGCCACGGAGGTGAGTAATCAGAGTCTGAGGGCAACTCGGGACTCTCCTGTCACACCCGCTTGACCCCAAGTCCTCCCTCTTCTGAGGAACTGCTGATTTGCTCTGATTTGGTGGCTCAGTGTAGTCACCCCACTCATTGGGTGCTCTTCTCTTCCTTATCGGGGGGCCTGGTTGCCTCCCCGGGACACCTTTGCTCCCCGACCTCACACACATGCTGTTCAGACAGTGAAAATACACACCCTACATGTTCACTTCTGTCCCGGCCTTATGCCAACAACCTGGGGTGGACTGCCCAGCACCAGATAACACACCAGAAGACTCCTTATCAGACTTTCCTTGACAAGTCTTATTGCCACGTGAGCCTTGGCGCTGGGAGTGTCATATCACAGCTCACACTGCCCACATGGCACTCACTAAACAAATCGCGTATGAGAAGATCCCCAAGCCAGGACTGCAAAGACAGGCAGACACCCAGAGCCCAGGCCCCCACCCCCACCCCCCGGCCAACAGGGCTGGACAGGGTGGTTCAAAGAGCATCCACCTGGAGGCTGTGGCATTTTAAAGTCACGCAGGGCCTACACGCAGGGGGAGCGGTGTTCATTCGTAACCAGACAGGTGGCGGATGGGGCACAGTCAGGCAGAAAATAAATCTAGGGCCACCAGGACTGCCGAGGGACCTGCCCTGTCACTGGGCACAGGGCTGCTGTGACCGACTGATATGGGATGGGGCGCCGAGGCCAGGCCGAGCCTCAAGATGAGGGGACGAGGGGCCCAGGCTGGCAGGGGGTTTGCAGAAATGAGGCCGTGGGCTGGAAAACTCGTCCCCAACGCAGCACACAGGACATCTGGGGGTCCCCATACCTCAGTCTTGGGCTCCGGAGGGTCTTTTACATCTAGGTCTTGAGTTGTCTCTTTCACCTCATCGTCAGGTTTATCGCACAGGTCCTCGGTTTCAGAAGTGATTTCTTTAGGGGAGAAAACAAGAAAGGGCATGTCACTTGGACATGACCTCTGCATACACTGCGACACCCCGAAGCACCTACACCCCAAGGACTCGGCTGGCACTGTGATTTCCACGCTGCCGGCCCCGGCTGAGCTCACAGGCCAACCCCGGGGCCTCTGCACAGGCCAAAGCTGGGCCTCCTGCCAGCGACCCTGTGCAGGTCTCACCAGACTCGCGTAGGAGTCATGCTGTTCCAGTTTCCCAAAGAAGCCTTTGAGGGGAGGGGAGTGGGGTGCAACCTGCCAGCACCTGGCACGTGAGGCCCCCCTCATTCATGTGACCCCTTTGTTTTAAACGCGATGGTCAGTTTTAATTCCATCAGGACTGCTTCCTAACCCAATGACACATCCGTTCCATGGGGACAAGACCCCAAGAAAAAGGCAAAGAAAGCCCCCAGCTGGCGGCCACAGCAGTCTCTAAAGGATGCATCGTGGTATGTGAACCTGAAACACCAGGGACAGGCTCCCTGGGAAGCAAGCCCACCCCGGGCTGCACCGGGTGGACGGCCAGAGCTGACCTACAACTCCCAGCCGCCCGTCCCGCCCTGCTTGCCGAGGTGCCGAGGTGCCGAGGCCAGGTGTTCCTGCAGGGCCTGCCTGGTGCACTGTCTGCACAGGAGTCCCCCTCCGGGCCTGCGCCCCCACCCCGTCCGGTCATCTCTCTCCCGGAACCCCAGCGGACCGGCTGAGCAGCACTCGGGGGCACTGCACTGGGAGCCGACTCGGGACGCTCACCTTGGAAGGTGGGCCGCTCGCGGGGGTCCCCGTGCCAGCATCTCTGCATGAGGCGCAGGAGGTTGCTGCAGGCACGCGGCCGGGCTCTGCAGACGGGCGGCAGCTCTGGGCGGTGGCCCTTCACCACCTTCACCATGATGTGCAGGATGTTCTTCTCATCTGCAAGGGAAAGGCACACGGGTCAGGCAGCGAGGAGGTGGCCGAGGCCGGCTCCCTTACCTCCGGGAGAACCCGCGGCTGTGGGGAAGCGCAGAGGAACACGCGTGGGCGAGCCCCTGCACCTCCTCACGCCGTGGCCCGGAGACCACCTGACTCCCTCTCAAAGCAGAGCTTCCGTTGCCCTGTGTTCACAGGGCAAGTCCGTCCTCTGCCTGCCAGGTTTTACAAGCAACCCAGCAGCTCCCAGACGGAACCCTCGTCTGTATCACAGAGCAAATCTTCTGGGCAGGCAACTCAAAGGAAAACCCAGTTCAAAGGAGAAGAGTATCTGACAAGACATGTTCCAAAGTGGCCGAGCCCACCAAAGGGAGGCAACACGTGTGCATCCTGGAGCTGCGCCGTCCAGCCCCAGGTGCGCCCAGACCTCCTGAGATGACAGAAAGTCTTCCTGAACTCCGGTTCTGTCCCGAAGTGCAGACCCCACGCTGGCCTCTGCAGTGCTTGGGTCTAGGGTGTGCAAACAGGGGTCTTTTCCCCCAAATTCATAACGCTGGATCCTTTCCAGCATCCTTCAGAAACACACCTCATCATCATATCTCCATCATCATCTTGGTCACAGACTAAGGGGCCCCATGTGACCCTCAGTGGGCAAGACTTTTTCTCTGCTCAGCCTAAAACCACCCCGTCCACCAAGCTGGACTCCGAGCATCTTGTTCCCAGCAGGCCTCCCCGCCCTTCCGTTCCCAACACGCCCACAGGAGCTCAGGGGAGCCTGGAGAGTCCGGGCACATGAGCAGGTGTGGAAAATTGGCTCAAAGTCCCCGACAGCTGCCAGGATCCTGCTCTGATGTTTTGTTCCACTTTCCCGTTAAATCTTGTGCAATAACTGTCTTAGGTATCTACACATTATTTCCATGAGAACTCAGACTTCCACAAACCCAACAGCGGTTTCTGACTACAACGAAAGTAAACGAAACACCTGGCGGACAGTCTGCTGCGCAGATGGGAAAAGTCCGCGAGACGCCTTCGCTGCTGCACCTTGAACTCCCCTATCTACCGCACCAAGGAGCACGTGGGCCTCGCCTGTCAATAACAGGCACCTGGCCTTGGGTGCCCCGTCGTCCGATAATTTCATGTCGGGCTGGCACGCTGCCACCCTAAAGTAAGCCAGACCACGGACCTCCAGAGCAAGATGAGGAGACCGGACGACGGGCGGAAAGACAACATGGACACAACCCTACAATGGCCTCATCTGCGTCTTGACCAGCAAAGGCTCCATGACCCGGGGCCACAGGTTGACTGTGACCTGCATTTTTAGGTATTTCTGCTCAGGCCACACTATTATGAGTGGCCCAGACATGCCGACAGGGAAAATAAAACTCTCCAATAAGACAAAAATGTACTTGACTTTCACAGTAAGTCTCAGTACCAAGCCAAGGCACTAAAGTCTGAGGACGGGAATCAGAGCGGCGGCTGGCGCAAGGGGGGAGGAGCACACCAGGTCTGGAGCGGTGCTGGTGACCCGGGGTGCCCGTCTGTGTCAAATCCACTCAGTGGTCGCGGCGCTGGCTGCCCAGCACTGTGAGTGTCCTTTACACAACCACACCGTACGCTCAAAGATGGTGGAGGTGGTCGATTTCATGCTAGTGTATTTTATCACAATTAAAAAGAAGAAAATTTAAAAAAGGAAAAGAACTAGCTGGAAATAACCACAACAAGCAAACCCACAGAGACAGAAAGTGGATTAGCCGCTGTTGGGGGCTGGCGGTGGGGGTGATGACGTCATGGGCACAGGGATGAGAATGTTCTGGAACTAGATAGTGGCAGTGACTGTATAACATTGTGGATGTACTTAATGCCACTGAACTGCACACTTTAAATGGTTAAAATGATCCATTTTCTGTTTGTGTATTACATCACACACACACAAAAGAATGAGCTGGTACCTAAGACCCCCGCTCAGAGCCCCTCGGACCTGTGCCTGCTCCTGTACGAGTCACACCTGAGCGTTGGCATACAGGACCACCTGCAAAGAGGTGGCCAGGACAGAGTAGCCCTGCTCTCTCGGGACGGCCCTACCGTGGGAGTGTGGGCCACAGGCAGCCCTGAAGCCGAGAACCACGACGCGTGCCTGCCCTGCCCCAGGAGGGCAGAGGCCCCGCCGCCGAAGAGGAGCCCGCTCACCTGCAAACGGCTTCTTCTGCGTCAGCACGCCCCAGATCACGATGGCGAAGCTGCGGGGAAAGCGGGCAGGTCAGTGTCTGGGGGCCAGTCCCTCTGCCAGAGCAGAAGCTCGCACACAAAGCAACACGCGTCAGGACCGCCCCTCTGGTCTTCAAAAGAGAGCTGACCCTAAGACAGGTCCCAGGACTTTGTTTTAAACAGGCAAACACGCTGACCGGGGAGATGCTGAGCAGTGGGCAGAACCCTGCCAACAGAGTTGTAAGCTACAGCACCTCAGGGTGTCCTCCAAAGCAGGGCCAGCATCAGCTCATGGGCAGAAGGACCCGTGTCGGCCGAATTCACCACCGTCCTCCTGCAAACACCAGGTGTCCCGTGCTGACCACAGTGCCCGGCCTGGTGTGGAAAACCTGCTGGCAACCCAGCCGAGCTGCCCTGAGCCCTCTTTGGCTGGTGGAAATTATATAAGGGCATGGAAAAGTAGGGTTACCCTTGTGAGTACGAAAAGTTTATTCTTGTATTTTTTATTAATTACTGTATTACGTTCTATACGAACAACCTGTTTTTGCTCTACCCTGTATACATAATATATATAATTACCCTGGGTACACCAAAAAATAGCTCCATCTGATAAATTAGAAAACAAACAGAGGAGGCCCAACACTGAGCCCCACCCTACAGCCTCTTGGTAGTGGCTGTTTACAGAGGCCCAGGAATTCTCCGCTGAATCATCGTTGAAATCTGTGAGTTCAAACATCCAAACTCCCCACTCTAAACCAAATAATCTTCCCCCCAAACTCTGCAAGCTGGGACTAGAACCCCAAGTGCCACTGGCCAGCAGCCTCCGGCTCAAAGCCCGCTCAGCACGCGCACTGTGGTTACTGCCGAACCCGTCTGCCAGGACCCCGGGCCGCAGCGGCGACAGAGGGCAGAGCCCCAGCGCTCGGGGCTCCGGGTCCCAGTCACCGTGAGTAACACCAGAACCACAGCGCGGGGCTTGTGTGCCTGCTCGCACCCTCCCTCCCTGTTTTCTTCCCCGAGACGGCTTTGCCATGTTTGGAAAGGAAGGCCTGGTCGACCCGGGGCTGTCCTCTAGGGCAGCGACTTCCGACCGGTGAAGAATCTTCACCATGTGCGGTACCTGACCGGCCAGGGGCGCTGGCCTCCTTCCCCTCGGACTGTCAAATAAACAATGACAACAGCCAACACACGACAGCGCTCCGGTGTGAATGAATCAAAATGAAACCTTTTCTTTTGGTGTGTCAGACTGGCAAAAAATACACTGGTGTGCCCCAGAGTGTGAGTAATTAGCGTGTGCTCTCTGAATGAAGCCCGCAGACGCTGGCTTCTGCACAGCCTGTGGCTGTCTGAGCTCCTCTGTCCAACGTAAGTGACATCAGGGGAGGAAAAAGAGAGAAACAAAAGGTGAGTGCCACCAGGACGTGCAAGCGGCTGGGCCAGGGGGCGGGGTTCTGGAGAGCCAGACGTCACAGGCCCCTAAAAGTGTGGGTTCGTTCAGAGACAAGCTATACAACCCACATTCTCTAGGGCTCCTCGCTGTCGAACTGTCCCATAACTGGCCCTCAGGGCACCGGCCATTCACGTCCTCCACCCCTGGCCAGCAACGTCCCAGGAGACAGCTGTCTCCTGTACCCACCAGCTAAAAACCCCACACCCTTCCATGGGGGCTGAACCTCACATCTGACGGCAGCAAGGAGCCTCCTGGAGGACTGGGCACAGAGCTGGGCACAGAGCCGGACGCGGCCCGGGGGCTGCACGCCCGTACACACCTGTACACGTCGTGCTTGGTGTCGAACAGCCGGCTCTTCTCGCGGATGCGCTCCGGAGGGAGATAGGCGATGGTGCCGAACAGCCCGTCCATGCTGAGGTCGTGTGAGTGCGACAGCCCGTTGCACTTGGCCAGCCCAAAGTCGGAAATCTGGAAGAGAGGGCCAGAGACGGCTCAGCACGCTTCCTGGCACCGTGCCGCCCTGGGCCGCCATGTCTCTCCCGGCCAGGTCCGATGGCGCAGGCCCCTGACACCGCAGTGTGGGCACAGGTGCCCTCGGGGCCATGACCTGTGCTCCCTGGGGTGGGGGGGCAGCCACAGCGGCTTAGAAAGAACCAGGTCTGCAGCCATCAAGAATTCGATGGACGGGGAGAGATTAGGCATTAAGGGAGGAATTCACTGGGAGAGCGCTGCAGACTAATCAGCACCTGCCCGTGCTGGGCAGCAAGTCGGCCACTGCGGCCGACAGCGTGCTGGCACAAGGGGAAAAGGCAATGCTCAGAGTTTCCGGGTTTTCAGACGACCTGTGGAAGCGCGGCTGGCCAGGCCCAGTGCTAAGCAATCCGGTTGTGCAACCATGCCAGCTGGGCAGACGGGCAAGTGGCAGCAAGTTCTTTAAAGGGAAGTGCACCCTCAGAAGCCCTTTAAAGTGAGCAAAACACACGCCACAAACCTCATCCTCCACCTGGAATTTCTGTGATGGACAGCTGTTTGCTGGCTCCCCCACCAAACACATGGCACCCAAATCAAGGGCTCACGCACATCTCTGCCTGGGGTCTGCCAGCCGGGAGGAGCTGCTGGTCCCAGCCTCTCAGGCCCCGCACCTCCACCTCTTTGTCTCCTTTGGGCAAAGGTGTCCTGACAGCTCACAGATGCCAAAATGGGGGGAGTGAAGTCAGACTCTCGGGGGATCACCAGCTGCCCCTCCAGACCCCCACCTCCTTGGAAGCCGCTGGAGCACTGTGCATGGTACTAGGCCACGGGCACGAGCACTAAGGGGCTCAGACTCCATGTGGAAACAGCCCCTTTATATTCTTCAAGGCTTATGGAGTCGTCGAAGCCTCCTAATCAACCCCAGGCTCCTGCTCAAACACCGCTGGGGAATGACAGGAGCCAGGGCTGAGCCGGGGCTGAATTCTGAACTAGCTGTGCCAGTCGCAGGCGAGCCGATGGCCTGGCGTCATCAGCGCTGAAGGCAGGGAAGTTATGACTGGTGACTTGATCCGTCAGGGGACCTCTAACCACATCTGTAGGGAGGTGATGGGAAGAAAGCCAGCAAGAGTGGACCAGGCCCTCCATTCCTGCGGCCAGGCCGTGCCCCATCAGGCACGGGTCCACCAGGGAAGCCGGCTTGGCATTTCTGGGCCCTGGCAGCTGTCTGTTCCCTGGCCAAGAAACGCCCCACAGAAACGCCCCACTCTGGAAAGGAAGGTGCTAGTTCTCCGGAATGAACCCATCACCCCGACCCTGCAGATCCATAAAGCAGCTCATAGCCATGCGGGCATCTTGGCACCCACTGCCCCCCCGCCCACCACGGGCAGCCTTTTCTCTTCATTTCTGCCATTTTTTCAAGCACAGTCATTCTGCTTCCAAATGTACTTGATGGAAGAAAAGAAGCATAGATTCTGTGCAAAAAGCTCTGACATCAAAATGCAAACTCAGAAATCAGAATTTTCTGATGGCTGCCGACCCTCCACCTGCGACTTAGCCCACCCTTCCCACCGACCTTCAGAACCTGCCTGGCCTGGCCCCGCTTCCTCGCCGGTGGGACCAGGGCCGCCTGCCGGACTGGGCTGATAGAACGGCCACGGCAGACCAAGGAGACCAGGCCCCTCAGAATCTCCCAGAATAGCGTCTCGCCCGGGCCAGCGGGGCCAGAAGTAAGCCTGGGATTTGAAACTAAGTTATTTCATCTCCAGCTTAAAATGGGTCCACTGCTAATACGTTAAAATTAGCACTTTAATATTATTTAGCATATTTAGCATTACTGTCAAGGAGTAACTTAAGACTGTCTTCAATACACTCTGCAGAGCAGGCGGCCCTGCCGTCGAATCACCCTGTCCAGGGAAGAGGGGGTCTCGATGCGCCAGGGAAGGAGGCAGCCTGACAGCTTATCTTATTCCAGGATAAAGGGTCACTGCTGCCAATAAACACTGAACTGAAAGTGTCCAACTGGCCGATCAGTCAGTGGCAACCTCGAACGAGGCCCCGCTGCCTTCCCACACCCTGTCAGCCATTCCTGAGGCTGAAAGACGTGCTTATGTAAATACATTTCTGTTTGTCGGGGCTGTGCGAGGTGACTAACTCGCCTGATTAAGAGGGAGTCACAGAAAAGCTGCCATTCGGGCCTTTCGGGGTGCCCTGGGCCTGGGAGCAGCAGCATCACCTCGCTTCCTGTCACGGAGATGGATCCACGCAGGCTCGGCCCCGCCCCCGCTCCGCCGGCCTAGGGTCCTTAACAAGGCCCCACTGGATTCGTTCAGGAATCGTCACCCACCCATTAAACCGGCATACAGGCCGGGGCAGGAAAGGCCACCGGAGGCCCCTAAGAGCCGGGGCAGAAATGACGTCCAGGGAAAGCAAGGTCACAGTGTCAGCCAGTCAGACAATAGCCCTGGGCCCCTTACTGAGCAAGTATTAAGCACCTGCTGTGGACCCAGCCTGGGGACCCTCCCAGACGTGAGAAGGTGACTATCTACTGGTCACAGAAACACCAACACCCAGGACACCAACCCTCACCAAGCACTTGCAGGGCCAGACACTTTGCTGTCACTGACCCCTCACAACAACAGAGAGGTATTACCCCACCCGCCAGGGCACAGTGCTCCCACGCGGGACACTTAGAGAGAAGAGGTCACTGTGGTCCTCCAGGGGCGCACACACGCCCCACACATTCCACACCACCTGTTAGGACAGTGGAAAGGGAACGGGTTGATGCGAAAGCCCCGGCAGGCCGATCGGGCCCCTGGCTGCAGACACGCCCGTTGCGTCCCGGGGCCCAACCACCAGCCGTCTCCCTGGGCGAAGCGCGTGCCCAGCAGCCTTGTGTCCAGCAGTCCTTCCGGCCGCAGGGAACGGCCTTCCCGACCCTCCACCCTAGTCCCAGTACTCCTCCCGCTCGCCACCCCAAACCCAGAATTTCTCCATTTTTCTTAGGCTAATTCCTCCACCTAAAGGCTCTTCTGCCTGCACCCCACTCCTGACAACAGAAAAGCCTGCCACTATGTGAGGACCCACTCCCACGCCAAGGGAACACAAGCTGGGTGACCCTGGCCCATGATGTAAGCCCTCTGAGCCTCAGCTCAGCAGCAGCTGGAAGCCACCGTCCACTGTGTCCCCCACTTGAAGACGCGGGCAGATCCCGCAGGCGGGGCCTCAGGCACACAGCGGGGACCTGTCACTCCCTTCCCTTCTCCTATGTGGTCAAGTTCACGAGCAAAGGCCCGTGGGGTGCAGGCAGCACCACAACCCAAGGAGACAGGACAAGACACCGCTTTCATCGTCAGCTAAAACCTTGCTGCTCAGCGACACCTACTTAAGGGACAACTTGTAATTACTGTGTAAGTGAAAATAGGATTTCCCCACAGCCTCGGGCTGGCTCGGCCGGAGGGAGATGCCTGCTTCAAAGATGGGGCCCAGGGAGTGGCCCTGTGCAGGCCACCCTTGTGCCACTGACCTGTCACGGGTGAGAAAACGGGGGCCCAGAGGGAGCCGGGGCCAGGGCTGGACTAGGCTCAGGCCCCTGCTCCTCAGGCCAACAGGGAGGGTCTGCAAGTGTAGCAGGACAGCGGGTCACAGCGCAGAGGGTCCCTTCGCTGTCCCCATCGCAGACCAGACAGGACTCAGGCCAACGTTCTCGGATTGAATCCTTCTTGTTCACGCACAGGACGAAGGGAAAGGGCCCCCCAAGCACACGAGCATCACTACAAGGGGGGAAGCCGTGGCATGCGCCCCCTGTGGCACGGGCCACAGAACAACCATCACACGAAGGCCAGCCAGAGAGACACAGTCACAGAAACACAAACCTGACAGCATTCCTAACTGCCAATTCCAGGTGGCTGGCGCCTGGTGTTTAGTTTTATTATTCCTCATACTTTTCTGTTTTATAAACTTACCAGAAACAATAAAAAGAGCAGCCCTCACAGGCCTCAAGTTATTAGAACAGAATGAGTCCCATCAGAGCCCCTTGCTATGGCCACTGTGTCCACTGTGTCCATGTCAGAGCACCCACGTCCCTCCGCCCCAGCCCCTGCACCCACCGAGGGGGACAGCCCGAAACCACTGTCTCCCACGGAGACAGCTGACCCCCAGCCTGACCTTCACTCTATTTCCTAGGACTTCCACTGTGACCAGAATCTGCAAACCCACAATCTTTGTCCAGGGTATGAAGAATTTAGAGCCATGTTTCCAGGGTTTGGGGGTGTGACCTGTGTTCAGAGTCCACTTTCTGGCCACTCGTTTTGGTGTTCACACCAACCGGGACAAGACGGAGAATTCCTGTCTCTCTGCTCAAGTTTTTGTCCACGAGAACCGCGCCCTCGTCCCCCCTCCCACCTGCCGCGGTGCCCCGCCGCCCCGGCCCGCGCGGAGGCTCCTACCTTGACGTGGTAGTGGGCGTCCAGCAGAATGTTTGCGGGCTTGAGGTCCAGGTGCAGCAGCGGCGGGGACATGCAGTGCAGGAAGTTCATGCCCACGGCCGTCTCGTGGATGATGCGGAAGCGCAGATCCCACGGCAACGGCTCAGAGGCTAGCAGCTTCTCCAGAGAGCCTGTCTCCATGAACTCCATGACCAGGCCGACAGGATCTCGGCAAATGCCGTACACAGGCAGGATGTATCGGAACTTGGCCATCTCCATCTTCTTGGCTTCTTCCAGAAGCTCCATGCGCTCCCTGAAAAAGGTCAAAGACATGAGGAGCATGCACTGGTCTCCTGGCCACTAACACAGCTCCACGGCCAAGACATAACCAGGTCCACAGAGCTGAGAAAATGACTAAAACACACACACACATGTAAGCTCACTTTAATGTCGCATAATTAAAATCTGGGCTGTCCAAACCTTCAGGCCCACAGCTATTCAACCGCACCTAATTATTATCTGAAAATCCACAGGCAGCACGGAGCCCACACGCGCTGGGGGCGTGAGTAAGGAGTGGATGCCGAGACTCTCTTCTGTTGGGATGCGGGAAGAGAGGTTTAAGTTCTACTAGAAGTTGCAACAAAGTATCCATATAAAGAACCTAACTCACCTTCTTTAAGGTGAACACTTAAGTTGGCCCAATTATTCCTGAGTCCAGCCCACACTTGAATTAATGGTACATTCCTCTAATGCAGAAAATGCTACTGGAGTACCACTTTTTGTAAACCATTTTTTTAAAAATTTATAGTAAAATATATATAACACACTATGTATCATTTTAACCATTCATAAGTATACAATTCAAAGGCATTACATATAGTAACAATGTTGGACAACTATCACCACTATCAGACACACAAAACTTTTTCATTATCCCCAAAAGAAACTCTGTACCCATTCAACAGTGACCCTTTCAACATGCCCCCCCCCAACCCCTTCTCTACTTTCTGTCTCTCTGAGGTCCGTACCCTAGGGACCTCACAGAAGTGGAATCATCTAGTATTTATCTTTCAGTAACTGGCCTGCTTCACTGATCATGCTTTCCACGGAGGTCCATCCACGTTGTGGCACATACCAAAACGTCACTCTTTTCACGACTGCGTAATACTCCACCGTATGAACACAGCTCACCGTGTTTATCCAGCCACCTGCTGATGGGCACCTGGGGTGCTCCCACCTTTTGGCTATTGTGACTGGCACTGCCAGGAGCGTGTGGTCCGCCCGAGTGCCTGCTTTGCCTTTGGATACCCACCTAGAAGTGAATTGTGGGGTCAGGTGGTAGTTCTACCGTGAACCTTTGGAGAATCTGCCAACCCGCTGTGCACAGCCTGCGTCCTCTGTAAACAAAGGCTGACTGGAGGCCGTCTCACCCATCCGTGCCCACGCAGGCGGCGCTTGTGTTCAGGCGGAGAACAAGGCAGCTGCAACACCAACCCTAAGCCGACACAGCCCGGACACTTCCTCTCTAGCCCTTGGAGAAAGCGCAAGGCCTGGTCTGAGGCCACTTCCCGGGGCAGCCCGTGGACGTACAGACTAGATCCAGTGCCTCGGCCACTATTAGCATTTTAGGTCCAAGTCTCAGGGTGCACTCAGGGAAAAAGGCGGAATCCCATGAGGACAGGGCTTGACCACATGCATGGTACAAAGCACTCAGGAAGCTGGCTGAAATGCAGGTTCTCAGGCCCCACTCCTGGAGAATGGGCTCTGAGAGGGTGCTGGGGCAACTGCCTTCCCATTAGCTCCTAAGGAAAAAGCCCAGACCTCAAGCCCAGACATGCCACGTGGAGCTGGGAACTGAGCAGCTCAGCGCCTGCAGAGGAATACAAAGGCTGGGCCGCCTCAGGGACCCCACCCCCAGAATGCAGAGTCCAGTACGAACAGCTTTGCCCATAACCCAAAACAGGCCAGTTGCCACCACAGGGTCTTCCCGAGCTCCGATGCACCTGCCCGCCCTCCTGCACCTGCTCCCACACTCTCGCCTACTACAGAATCCCGCTGGAGAATCCAACATGGGACCAACAAAGCGAGTTCATTTCTTATTGATCTACCTCCTCTTTGAGACCACAACATGCTCCCAGGCTTCCGTGACAGTTAGGAAAACACTGCTCTGGGGGAGGCGGTCGGCAAGGAGGGGCCAGGATTACACCTTTACCAAAGGTTGCAGCAGCCAAGCTCAGCCTGCACTCGGCTCTCTAGGCTCGGCCAGGATATCAGGCCCTCTGCCCACCCACCTGTCCCACTAGCTGGGAGCTGAGCACGTGTGAGCACAGGCCAAGGGGCTGCATGGTGGGAGTCTGGGGAAGGATCCCCGTGTACAGATTAGTGACTCTCACCTAGGGGCAGCTTCACCCTCAGGGAACACTGGGCACTGTTTGGAGACATCTGGTTGTCACAAATGGGGGCTGCTACTGGCATCAGTGGGTGGAGGCCAGGGATGTTACTCAACATCCTACAATGCGCAGGACAGGCCCCAAGACACAAGTGCCAACAGTGCCCAGTCTGAGAAGCCCTGGTTCAGACCAAGTCAATGCATTTCAGCCAAACCTAAAATAAACCACTAGTCTGAAATCACCCACTGAAATACTCCCAGCACTCACTTGAATTTTAACCCATATCTAATTAATATTTACTTCTTGCCCTAGCCGGTGTTCTCAGTGGTTAGTGTCAGCCCTTGCATGGAATGGTTGTGGGTTCAATTCCCAGTCAAGGTCACGTATGTGGGTTGCGGGTTCGATCCCTGGTCAAGATGTGTGTAGGAGGCAACTGAACAATGTGTCTCTCACACACTGGTGTCTCTCTCTCTCTCACTCCCTTACTCCCTCCCTCTAAAATCAATGGAAAAAAATCCCTCAGGTGAAGGTTAACAACAACAAAAAAAATCCACTTATTGACAAGTAATTACTGAGCACCCTCTATGTATTAGAATTGATGACGAAGAGAACCCTTCCATGCCTCCACCGGGCTCACCTTCTAGGGGAGAAGACGGAAAACTGCACCAAATCAAGAAGCATAGCTGAAAATGTGAGGGAAGGGGTGTGGGGACCCGGAGAGATTTCACAAAGGGAGCCCCTAACAGCGGGGAAAGGGTGGCAAGGGCTCGTGAGGAACTCACTCACAGAGAGGCCCGGACAGGCAGGAGTCCCAGGCTGGGGGCGAACCATCAGGACTAGGTGACTGGACCTGGAGGAGAGGCAGCAAGGACCACCCTGACCTCCCGGGGCGCCATTTATGGAAACAGCAGCCAAGGGGGGAGGGGGCAAGGGGAGTGGTCAAGAGTTTGGTTTTTAACACATCAGGAACAAATAATCCCACTGGCCTTAGAAACAAGAGAAACAAGAATCAGGAGTGAATCATGACATCACTATAAAACAAAACGGAGTTCAGCCTGACTTGTTTTCTTAGCACCCTGTGTCCCTGCGCAGGGCTGAGGTTGCTCCCCACCTTCGGAGGGGCCTCCGCAGGTTCCCTGCCTGGCCCAGGCGGGCCAGCCCCTCCTCAAAGCTTCAGCACTGAGCCAGGCTTGGGGATGGCACCGGCACCAACCCCTAACCCTGTGCCAAAACATCTGAAAGAAGAAAGGGCTGGTGCGAAGGTCAAGCATCATTCAAAACAAAGCCGGTCACTTAAGAGAGAGAGAAAACGACACCCCTGGGCCGTCTCCTCTCTCCTCCCAGGAAGGCCTGGTTTGTTATCTCCAGGACACTAGCACCGCTGCTGACAACTCTGACTCCCAGGTGTGCCACCGGGGTCAGCATCACTGCTACTGTTTCCTGTTCTGTTAAGAACCAGTTCTAGCCCTGGCCAGTTTGGCTCAGCGGTTAGAGCGTCGGCCTGCGGTCCGGAGAGACCCGGGTTCAGTTCCCGCTAAGGGCACGTACTTCGGTTGCAGTTTGTCCCCGGCCCTGGTTGGTCGTGCGGGTGGCAGCCACTCGTGTCCCTTCCTGTCGATGTTTCTCTCTCTCTCTCCCTTCCTCTCTCTCCCTCCCACTCTATCTGTACAAAAAATGGAAAAATATCCTCAGGTGAGGATAAAAAAAAAAGAAGAAAAAAAAAAAAAAGAACCAGTTCTGGCCCGGCCGGTGTGGCTCAGTGGTTTAGCGTTTACCCACGCACCAAGAGGTCGCCGGTTCGAGTCCCAGTCAGGGCACATGCCCAGGTTGTGGACCCGATCCCCAGTGGGGGGCATGCAGGAGGCAGCCAATCAATGTTCTCTCTCATCGATGTTTCTGTCTCTCTCTCTCCCTCTCCCTTCCCTTCTGTCTAAAATCAATAAAGAAAATAAATAAATAAAATGAAAAGAGCCACTGCCGATGGTTTGGTCCAGAAAGCTAATCAGAGCTAGAAAGTTCTAAGAGAGCCTGTGCCCTCTTTGGAATCAATGCACAAATGTCACAGGACACTTGTCAAGGAAAACCAGCTCTCCCGGAAAGTAAGTCCTTGTTTCCAGGGACAGGTCACCTTCTTCATGACAGCTCAACAAGAAATGCCTTACAGCAGAGGACCCTGTGTCCAAGTCTCAGGTCCCTGGGGCGAGGAGGGGGGTCCTGGGACCGCCCAGCAGGAAGTTCAAGGGGACTCAGAGGCCAGCCATGTTGCACAGGCCTGGGAGTGGGGTTGGCCGGCGTCCCCTAGAGTCGGCACCAAAAGAAGGTCACCCTGTTTATATTTCAGTAACTACCAAACTGAAATCCCAGTGACCCCCTTGCTCTCGTCTTTCTTCAGTTGCTCCTGGGGTACCCCCCTGGGACACATTGCAAGGGGAGGGGGGCAGGTGCACCCCCACGCACCCCCCAGCTGGGGAGCCCAAGGGCCAGCCACCACCAGCATAGAAAAGCCACAGCTCTTCCGGATCGAATGTCTAGGTGACATTTGCAATTCAATGAGCCTGAAATGGGCCCTCTGGGGCGGGGAGCCACTAGGGAAAAGTGACCCTCAAATGAACAGAAAGAAACCAACTGTTCTCTGTCGATGGCAATTATTTTTTTTAAACACTTTTCCTCAAAGCAGTGTTTCTGGTTTATGTTGACAACACAAAAGGAACTGTAGCTCTATTACTATGATGACTATTATCATGATCACTACTACTATTTTAGGACCTGGCGAGATTCTCAAAGAGTCCCAGAGTCCCAGTGCTGGGTGGGGGCTGAGGAGTGTCCCGACCTTCAGGGTGCCAAGCCTTGGTCACAGTCACACAATCACCAAATTCCATTCCTCCCTGTTGGGAGTGAAGTTCCAAGACACCCGAATCCACTGACATCAGTCTCAATTAGAACACCCTAAAAACTGAGCCGTGCTAACAGTGTAGCCACAATCGGGGACAATTTGGTAGAACTGGCGTCGTATTTCTCTCCTGTAATCATTTCAAAGCATGTCCTCCACTGGTCGGGGAGGAGGTAATGTCCATTTCCCAGCAGGAGCGGACAAGGCCCCGCCAGCCTCCTGTCCTGCAAGGAAACTCTCTGGGTATCAATAGGACAAGTTGAGCCTCTTAGGATCTCTTAAAGATCCTTTCTCAAGAGCACTTGCATCAATTCCATTTTTCTCAGTAGGGCTAGTCGAAACACGCCCGACCACCACCGATCGCAGGGAGGGCGCAGGTGGGGAGAAAAGCAGCCTGTCAGGTGGATGTTTTTGAGACACTGGCTGGAGAGGCCTCCAGGCTCAGTCCGGAATTCCAAAGGCCAAAGGCCTTCCAAAGGCTTCCCCCCTTTCTGGCAAAGGGGAAGGGGTGGCCCTGGGTCCCACCAGGCTGAGCAGCAGTGGAGACTCTGGGAAGAGGGGCAGGACGGGGGTGAAAGGTGCTTGGTAACAAGGCGCCCCGCAGAGGGGGAGACCTGGAGCCGCGTTCGGGAAGAGGCAACAGGACAATGGTGTAATCATTCCTTAGCCCAGCACAGCCTTCTAGCCTCACATCAACCCAATTATGTTCCCAGAGAGCCGGCCAGGGTTCCCACACTGCTAGTTTTAAAACTGACAAGAAATGGGCTTGTCGGATTGTCAGCCCTGTACTTACAGACCCGGGGGTTGCTCGGGCTCGTCTGGACGAGCCGGTGCTGATAGAGCATTAGCTGCTGGGCCCGGTGCCCAGCCGGGGCTCAGTTACTCAGGGCTTCCTCTTAGCCTGAGGGCTGCGGCTGGAGGAAGGGGCCCTGGATTCCCCAGTTCTGGACTAGTGGTAACACCCCCATTCCCAGGCTCCACCCAGGCCCCCAAAACCCCCGAAAGATGCTCGGGAGCAGGAAACCCAGATCAACAAGGCACCACTGGCCGCCTCCCTGGGGCCCTGGAGGGGAGTGTCTGGGGCTGGGCAGCCCCCCCTTCCCGGAATACAGTACAGGCTCACATGGTGGAGGCAGCCTGCTGCTCTGAGGACCCCAGGGTGGTGCTGTGGCTCAGGGTGGCATAAAGGCTGTGGGCAGGGCAGCGGCAGGAGGCCAGAAGACGCCAGCCTGCCTGAAGGTACAAGCAGCCAAGGAAGATTAGCCTGGCCCACACCCGTACCTGTGGTGGATCCTGATGTAACAAGTGGAGGGGCAAAGGGGCTCCAACCGCCCTGGGGAAGAAGAGGCCCAGTGTCGGCGAAGGTCACCAGGAAGGCCAGGGTACGTGACTGACTCCAGTAAGGGCCTCTCCCTAAACTGAAGACTTGGTGGGCTGGTGCAGAAAACTACCTGTCTGAGGTCACCCAAGACAAGCTGCAAGTTCTCTTGTTTAGTACGCTGCCCCTTCCCCATCTGGGGTGGTCGGCCTTTTTCCTTCGGTCCCTCCTTGCCCTCCATGTATGGGGGATAGTTTCCGATTATTCCTCGGAAGCTCCTGAGGAGTACCCAGGCTTCCATGGCAGGGGTTACAGGTGCTGCCCTTCTAACAGGTGAATAAGACGTAGCCCAGCGGGCTGCACCCAAGAACCCCAGAAAATCTTATGTCCCACTCCAAAGAACAGCTTGCAAATAGCGGGAGGGGGATGGGAGGTATCTCATCAAAAGAGCAATGAAGGCCAACCTGCCAATCATAACAAAATCTATTTCAAGCCCCGCAGGTGTGGCTCAGTGAATTGAGCATCGTCCCAAGAACTAAGAGTTCCTGGTTTGATTCCTGGTCAGGGCACATGCAGGAGGCAGCCAATCAATGTTTCTCTCTCACACGTTGATGTTTCTCTCTCTCCCTTCCCCTCTCTCTTAAAAAAAATCAGTAAAAATATATTTAAAAAAAACTTTCAAAGTCTAGCTGCAACCCTGCAAGACTGCACTGTAGCCAGCTCCCCCTGCACTGTGGCTGAGTGACACCAATCCTAATGAGAAGCTCACGCTGAAGCCAGTCAGTTCAGCCAGAGGCATTTTCTTGGCCAAGAGCAGGGGTTTGACCACCGCCTCAGTCGGAGAAATCAACTTCTGCGGCAAAGGCAGAACTCCAGCCTGCTCACTGCGGCCGGCAGAGTGCACAAGGTGAATGGTTTCCGGCTGAGCGATGCTGACCTCGACCTAGCCACCCAGTACGTGCCACCACCTGCCTGGTGAGGGCAGGGCAGGAAAGGATTCCAGTTAAAGGACAAAACACTTCTCAACCAGGCTATGCAAGATCCTAAGTGACCCGCCTCAAGTGGAGAAACCCTACCTCCAGCAGGGCCACCCAAGAAACAAGGGCCTAGTCGCTGGAAATAACAGATTCTAGGATGCAGGCTGACGCCTCCGCCTTGGAACCAGCTTGTTTACTTTGTTCTTCCAAGTCAAGAAACTGGTGGTAAAAGCTTCTCTGGCGAATGAAACTCACTTGACCAAAAAGCTCCATGAAATGTGCCCAAGAGGGTACAAACACCCGGAGGGAGAGGGAGGGTCTTGTCTTTCGGGATCTCACCACTGGCAGGTACTCTAAGTGGTTTGCATTTCATCAAAATACCCAGAGCGCCCCTCCTGGTCGGAGCAGTTCCCAGGACCTGCGGCACAGTGAAGGGGGGAAGCTTGCACAGCTTCACAAGCCCCTCAGCCTCCATTCGATATTTCTATGACACCTGACACCATTCTGCTGAAGTTTCCAGGAAACACTGGGTTTGAGGCTTACAGCAAAAGCCTCCAATCTACTGTATGACCCCCTAGACCAGGACGAAAACACAAAGTCCGCGAGCGCCCCGGGTCCCTTCTTCCCGGGCTTACTCGCTACTACTTGCTGTGGAAGCACACACCGCAGTCTGTCTCTGTCCCTTAGTCCTGGTGACACAGTCACCTTGGACATCACCACCATCCTAAGGTGAAAGAGGCCCCATCGCTCAGTAAGCGGAGGATCAGAAACCGGGTCTCTGAGCCAGCAAAGGCTAGGTGGGGTTTAAAAGGAGCTGTTTTCTGAGTCTGCGTGTGTCGAGGGCTTACTGTATAAGGGGGATCTCCAAACACAATACAAACCCAACTTCCACATAGAATGCAAACTTCACCCACGAATAAGTAATTTATTTAAATGTACTAAATTGAAGAGTGCGTATAAATTATTAAAATGCGAACGCAAACAGTGAAAAACAAACCAAGGAGCTGCTTCTCACGACCCTGCTCCCACCCCACGCTCCAGACCAAGCGTACCACAGTGCACCCAGCGAATGGGACTGGGGCGGCCGCACCGCCAGGCCCCAGCGCCGACGCCAAGTGCCGGGGCGCGGAGGAAGCCCGGCTCAGTCAAGCCGGTGCTTCCGACCGAAATAATTACCGTCTTACACCAATTTGTGCTCCAACGTAAATTACTAAGTGAGTCAAACGGAGTCTAACTCACTCACAAAGCCCAGATGCCCACACGGCAATTTTGCTAAGCCGAGCGAAGACCGCAGCGCCCAGGTGGGCTCGGGAGGGCCGGACGCGCCTCCGAGGGACGCGGGTCGCAGGCGCAGGGCGAGCTCGCGACCCTAAAGACCGGGGGTTTCACCAGGTTGCACCACTGGGCACTTTACAACGTCGCAGGCAAATGCGGCCCCCCGAAGCCGCTCCTGGGAGCCGCGGCTGGGGGGCCCGGCGTGCGTAATTAGACCGGGAGCTCCCAAACCCGCCTGCTGCGGCCGGGCAAGCGGCGCGGACACCGCTGGGCGCTTCACCGCCTCGCCGGCGCTTGCTTTTCCCTGCCAGGCTGCTCGGGGGCGACGCAGGTGGAGGGAAGGGGACCTCCAGAACTCCAGCGCCCCGACCCCAGCCTGGCCCAGTCGCCCGCCCCGGCGCCGCGGCGCCCCCGCCTGGGCCGCTGACCTGTTGTCGACGTGCAGGCTTGGAGAGCACTTGATGGCGAGCCACGTCTTCCAGTGGACATGGCGCACCTTGTACACCTGCCCGAAGCCACCCGAGCCGACCTTCTCCCATCCCGCGAACTCGCCCGCGTCGAAGGTGCGCAGCAGCCCCAGGGCCCACGGGCTCCCGCTGTCGCCCTCCATCGCTCGCCTCTCGCCGCCACCCTGAGCCGCCAGGAGCCTCAGCGGCAGCTCAGGTGCCCAAGTGCGCGCCCCGCCCGAGACGTCACTTCCGCCCCGCGCCCCTCCCTCGCCGACCCCGCCCCAGGGGCCGGGTCCCGGCAAGACCCACCGAGGGACGCGTGGAGTCACTGCGTCCGCCCCGCGGTGCGCGGGGGGTGAGACGGCTCCGGTGCAGCAGCTGTCGCGCGGACGTGTGTGTTTAGATCACTGTACAGTCACAAGCAGATGTAGGAAATAATTCAGTCTGCCATGTTTTCCCCAGTAAAGTAAAGGAAAAAAGTATATTACAACCAGGATACAATCCACTGATCTTATTCAGATTTCCCCAAATGTACCTGTTCTTCTTTGCCTGTGTTAATAACTTGTATACAGTGTTATCCCCTGCGTAGATTCGCGTCTTTACATAGGACATTCCATCAGGCAGTGACCCTCCTGTGGTCCCTTTATAACCGAACTCCCAAGCCCTGGCCATCACGAATCTTCCCACTATTTCTTAAACTGTGGTGTCTTAAAATACGTTGCACTCAGAAGGCATCTAGTGTGGGATCTTTTGGAATCGACTTTTTCCACTCAGCATAATTCCCTGGAGTTCGTGTGTCACTTTTTTACACCGAAGTTTTCACTTTGGAAGTAAATTTTTTTATGATCCCAACAGCAAATCTAAAGTTGTTCCAAAGACGGTGGGAGTTTCCCATCCTTTCCTAGAAGTGTGTTTTTTATGTAAAACAGATCTCTTGAAAAGGAAAGATGTTTTTCCAACTTTTCGGGGGGGGGGGGGGATTCTCCGCCTGAATATGTCCCCCTCTTGGAAAGATATCTGGGTCAGAGGTTGAGTTAGAGTGATTGCAAACTTTCACACCCAAAAAACACTCATTCCTGTAAGACTGTACAGTGAGCAAAGGTTTATTCTTAGCCCACAGAGATGAATAATGAAGACAGGATGGGGAATTAAAAGAGGAAGCATTTTAATGACATTAACTGTATTTTTGCATTAGTCACCCCAGAAGAAGAGGTTGATCCTAGCCCTTACCTACCACCTGGCACATGATAATCTTATTTCACAGCCAATAACTGAGCCCCATTTCTGCTTTGTAAACAGTCCACTGCCTCCCCTCCCCCACTAGGGCTTCCCTTTGAAGAGTACTCATTGGTGGGAACAGGACAGGGCTTGTCCCCAGGCCTTTTAGGAAGACCAGGCTGCCACATCCTTTCCACAGGATATCAAAATTGATCCCCTCGAGACTGGAGTGCAAAATGGTTATTTCAAGCTTGTCTGTAGCAAATGTAACTAAAATTTCAACTAACATTTGAAAAATAATTGGGATTTTGAATACATAAAAATAACTTGGAAGTAAACAGTCACTATTTTGGTGGGGAGAAAATGAATTGACTAGAAAATAAGTCGTTTGAGCTGTTTCCTGAGTTCAGCTCCTTTCCCCAGACTCCCTTTAGAACAGAGTCCCGCCTGCATGACGTCCAGCAACACAGGTGACTAACAGTTTACACCAGTCTAGTAATAAGACACATTTGTTTTATTTTATGTAATCATCTGCTTGCTTCCCTTGACAAATATTTATGGATTATGTGTTGTAGGCTCAGCATTGGGCTCTTCCACCAGGAAACCAGCGATCACAGAAGGCTTGACAGCCAGCCACCAGCTGCAAGGGGAGAGGGGACAAAGGTCATGGCCAGTGCTGGGTGGGACTGGCCGGCTCCTCCTCCAGAACTGGCTGTTTTCCTCCCACAGGCCACTCTGAGGGTCAGTTTTTTAACCTGTCAAAGTCCCTTGAAGGGATTGTGAAAACAAGCAGGGTTCTAAATCCTGTGGGATTATTAGGAGAGTAATTGTTATTTATGTTAATGGACATTGGTCATTGGCAGGTAAGGTGACATTTCCAAGTATAAAAGTAACTTACAGTGGCAGTATTTTCATGATTATTTTAGCATTGTTTATTTTATAATTCTAGGGGGTAAATTTTCATGGTTACTCCATGGCCATCTAAAAAACCCCAAAGAGAGTTTAGGTATAGATAGAAGATATTTTCCCATTTTGACAGAGAACACTTGGTAGTACATTAAGTTATGAGACTAAAGTGTCAAAAGAGAAGGAAGTATTTAGTTTTATTTTGCTGTGCAAATATTTAGCATAATAAATGCATAGCAAGTAGCAGAGACAAACTAGGTGAAAAGATTTAAAATGAACACAGCAAATCATTTAGTTGAAATGATTTAAATAATGTAAAAGGCACAAAATATAAAGATGTCATTTTTTTAACTGAAGATGTTTTATTACTTGTAACCTTTAAAATAAATCCTAACAGTAGTTGTATATGAAATTATGCATATACAAGTTAACATTTAAAGCTTTCAACGTTAGCTTTAAAATATAATGTCTTACAGAAATACTAAATAAGACCAACTGAGTATTAAACTGAACTTTCCATCTTAATGAGCTGTAACTATTTTCTTAATAAACAAACTTATCCATAATTTTATAAACATTCGTATTCTCCAAAGAGCTCACTAATGTCAAGAATTTATGTCAACAAAAACCTTTAATCAAAGCATAGTTTCACTTTTAATACATTTTAGATAAAAACAAAAGCTGACCGAGTTAAAGAAAAATATTAGGTGAATAATAGTGCAAGTTTTGCATCTCGGACGTAGGATGTGGCTGTCATGAGGATGAATGTGACCACGTCTGAGAAGTGCCAGGGTAGACCGTGCAAGGTGATCAGCAGGGAGGGGGACACCGCAGGGGCCGAGGGCCTGACTCGCAGACGAGCGGTAGCTACCCCGCGGGGAAGGCGGATGAGGAGCGGAGGGCGGGCGAGGAGGGAAGTGCCAGCCTCGGGGTCTGCGGGCGTTTTTCCGAAGAATGTCTAAGTCCGCGTCCTCCTACCTCGCCCCAAGGACCGCGCATCCCAATAAGCGCCTCTGTCGTCTCAGGCCCCGGAGGTGCGGGCTGTGCCATGTAGCACCACGCGCTGACCCTGCGAGCCAGGCGAGGGCTGGGAGCTGCCTCTGTCCCGCCGGGGGCACTGGACCGACCTGGAGACCAAGGAGAAGGCAGGTGCGACGACTCTCCTAGATGGTCCCGCCACCGTGACCCTGGGAGAGTTTGCGGGTCCCTGAAAGGGGGGATAGGGGTCCCTGCTCAGGATGGCCGTGGGCTCCAAGGAGACGGCGTGCCTGGTGTATAGCGGGTGATAACAGTGCCGGTTGTCGCTTCTAGTGGGTGTGCGGCCGTGTGAGGTGTAAACCCATCTTTGTCCTCTTCAGGGTCCCCGGAGCAGCACAGCCCTCTTGGCGAAGGGCTCACTTCGGTCCTGCAGCCAGTCTGGGACTGACCGAGGTCCCGAGCCCGGGAGAAAGCCAGGCCTCTGAGGTCCTCCCGCTAGACCAGCCCGCGGGGAAAGGGCACCGGAGGCCCCGCCCCTCACCCCGCCCCTTTCCCCTCCCCCACCGCCCTTCCAAGTCCAGCCCCCTTCTGCCCGGCAGGCTCCTCCCCAGAAAAGAGGCGTTGCTCTCCTAGAAGGACGACTCCTGCTGCAACTCGTAGAGCTGCTTTTGAGAAATTCCTGCATGATCTGAATATTATTTGCTCAAAGAACATACCTGGCTCAGCGCCGCATTCTGCATTCATTAATTCTGAAAAAGTGATTTGGGCGAACAGGGGACCAGAAGCACAATCCCCTGGGGTCTGGGGAGAAAGCCTGGGGGTAGGAGTGGGGGACTGGCTCCATCATCTAGCTTTTCTCAAGCTAATATTTATTTTAACACAAACCTCCCTTTTCAGAGGCACCTCTCTGACCAGTGGTCCCGCATCTGTCCTCCTGGGTGTCTTCCCATAAGATCATTTGTTCCCTTTGTTCCCTGCCCTGGAGACACAACGTCTGGAGCTCGAGGTCTCGTGCAACGGGGTGGCATCAAGCAGATGTGTGTTGGGTTATACTTGCAAAGCTATTCTACATGAGCTGAGCAGATGCTTGTGGAGTGACACTTACCGCTCTGCAGGTCCTCTGCCCTTCATCCTAATCCTGGTCTTTATGTGTTAATCCAGGCCCCCCCTCCCTCGCTGCTGCTTTCCTCCGTACCCCTGGGTGATCTTGTCCAGGCCACTGCCTCCGTTTCCATCTACTCAACAAAGACTCCATGTTTATATATCCAGACCAGACCTCTCTTCTGAGCACCAGACCCAGAAATTCAGCATGGAGGTCTCAAAGTCACCTCAGCACATTTGAGATGAGCCTATGCTTTATACCCCCAAACTAGTTCTTTCCAGAGACCCCCCATCTCTGTGCATAAGCCATCTTCTATTCCGAAGGCCAGGATCCCAAAAGCATCTGCAGCACCTCATAAACCCTCCATCCCATGAGATCCAGCCATTGCCAACAGCCCCATCCTAGACCTTGGCAAGAGGCAGGCCTGGCCTGGCCCACACTCCAAAGGGCCCCCGTCTGGTCTTACTCATCTACATGGGGCGAGGAGGTGCTCACTGTCCTAAATCGAGCTCTGGGTACCTATGACCCCAGAATTTCCAGCCCAAAAATCCCCAAGCCCACACTCCCACCCCTACATGGGGTCATCATCCAGGGGGTAACCCCACTGCTGGGGTGAGTGCCCCAAGGCCCAAGGCGTGGCCAGAGGAAGCCGTCTGCAGGGGACACGGTGGAGCTGGGATATCCCAGCTCAGAGAATTCCCATTGGAATCTGGCCCCCAAGTTGTTGTGCGGCTGCATTTGTCAAAGCAGGAGGACAGGACACACTTTATTTAACGTCTTGTTAACTTGATGTAGAACGTTCAACAATTTAGACAGGTGGCACACGGGCCTCAATGTGTACACTTCCCTGGCAGAAATGTCACCACAGTCTGGTCACCAAGACACTAGCTCTTTCCTCCCTAGCATCTCTTGATGGAACTCTGTTTCACATGCCAGCCCCTGGCCTAAGTCACCGTCATTTCCAG